ACACACACACACACACACACACACACACACACACACACACACACACACACACACACACACACACACACACACACACACACATGACCACCACCAGGCTGTTTGACATGCTGCAGCACCCGCGCTTGAACCGGCGGCTACTGTATGCGATACTTGAGGCGCTGCTCGTGCATCTCCTCCCGCCGCCGGGCAGCAACATCCGCAACCTCTTGCAGCGCCAGCACGAGATCTGAGTTTTGTGTGGGTTTGTGTTGTGTTTTGTTGTGTATCTGTGTTTGTCCGTGCCTCTGCGTGATTGTGCAGTCCACACTTCCGCTGTGCACACATCCGCGTGCACACACTTCCGCCTGTGTGCTAAATCCAAATCCTTCGCCTGCCCATGCTCAATTCAACAGCACAACTTGTTTGTTACGTGACATATGACATGACATGATATCACACGTCTCCCTTCCGCGGTCCATGTCCACCGTGCATTTTCAACTCTACCTCCCTCGTGCATCTGTTGCATTCAGCGCTCCCTCCTTTGCTCCCCATCGCCTCTCCTTTCCTCTCCATCTCTCTGCATGTGTTCGCATCGTTTGTTCTTGCTCATCGTGTTCATATTTGCAGTGTGTAGCTTAGGCCAACCAAAACCCGTAAAAACACTGGAAACGCGATGTGTGACAACGTGTACTACAGAAAAGAAGTGTTGTTGTGCAAGGTGACTTGATGTGAGGCAATCCACACGAACGTTCACATATGATACGTCACACACGCACATACAAACAACATAAACACGCACCACACGCATCACACACGCGCATACAAACACAACATAAACACGCACCACACACCACACAAACAAAACGCAACACACAAACAAAACGCACCACACAAACAAAACGCACCACGCAACGCATACACCACCACACAAAATACGCAATACACAAAACACACAGCACAAAGACAAGCGTCGACTACACGTTGGCGCACGCGGTGCTGGCGCGTGTGTAGAGCGGGTGGTCCTCGCCGCAAACGGTTCGCACAGCAGCGAGCACGTCCTGGCGAAGGTTCGTGCGCTGCTTGGAACTCAGGCCCGCTTCACCTTCATCTTTGCCTGCCTTCTTCTTCGTCTTCTTCCTGTCCTTCCCGCTGTCCTTCCTGTTACTGCTGCTGCCGGCGTTCTTGGCTCCGTGGTCCTTCCTCGTGCGTGCAAGCACCTGGTTTGCCTCGAGCAGACGAATGCGCCACTCGTTCAGCTCGGGCCAGAGCGAGGGCAGGTGGCGCCCCATCGCGTGCACGGCCTCGTGGAGCACAGCAATGCTTGCAGGCATGTTGGCCCGTGGGGACGTGCGGATGAGCAGCGCAAACAACACGCACTGCAGCTGGATCACAGAGTGGTGGAAGCAGGACACGGTCACATCAACGCTCGTCTTCAGCACGTGCTGTGCATTCGCAATTGCCTCTTCACACATCCGGGTCACATCTGCACTGTCATCCTCATCACCACCGCTGCTGTCATGCTTGGTGTTCTCAGCGCTGCCGGCGTTGTCGGTGCTGGGCCTGTTTGTATTGCCGGCGCTCTTGCTGGCAGTGCCTTCCTGGTTACGTGCTGCCTTCTGTTGTTGTTGTTGTTGTTGTTGCTGCTGCTGCTGCTGCTTCTTCTTGGCTGCTTCTTGCTTCTCCATCTCCTCGGTCACATCCACCACACGTGGCGTGCCGCTATCGTCCAACGCCTCCTGCTGTTGTGCGGCCTTGGCACGTGCTTCTTCCTCCGCCCTGGCCTTCTCTCGCTTCGCCTCTGCTTCCTTCTCCCTCTGCTTCTGCTTCTGGGCGCGGAGCACCTGCGCGCGCGTGAGCCTCGCCAGCGCAGCCTGACACTGGTCAATAGCGGCGTGTAGTGGCGGCAGCACATCCGATGGCAGCCAGGGCGGCAGCATGTGCCCGCAACCACCGTCCTCCGTCCAGCACACCAGCACGTGCCCGTCCTTTGTCCACGACTCGTACTCGCTTGCATCGTCCTCTCCGCTCCGGCCGCCGCTCACGCTCGCCGTCCGCTGCCGTGATGCGGTCGTGGTGGTGGTGGTGGTCGTGGTCGTGGTGTTGGAAGAGGGGGTGGTTGCTGTTGTGGTGCCGGGTGAGGAGGTCGTTGTTGTTGCGTCGCCTTTGCTGCTGCTGTCGTTGTCCTTGCTACTGCTGTTGTCCTGACCTCCATCGTCGCCACCACCATCACCATCCTCGACGATGACGGGCTCGCCCTTGCGCCAGGGCAGCGACCAGCGCGGGAGACAGCCGCACCTGCTGCACAGCGGCAGCGTCAGCGCACGGTCCCACGTGAACGCGTCCGGGTGCTGGCAACGCAGGCAGCGGCAGTGGAAGTTCTTCGAGGCCAGCAGGTACTGGCGGCGGTGCGCGCGCGGGCGAAGCAGGTCCACGTACGAGACGGTCAGCTCCTGGTGCTTGCGGATGCGCTGCAGGGTGACGACGGCCAGGCGCCCGCCAGGCCGCGTCACCACCGCGCAGTTGGGCGAGCACGAGTGGTTGGCCATGGCCACAGCAGGGAAGATGCCCATGCCCACGAGCGTGTTGGGCGCAGTCGACAGCCGAAGCGGGTACCCGTTGCAGTTCATCTGCCCAGCAATGACCACCAGCGCCTCTGCCGCCGACACGGTCGCCGCAGCAGAGCCATCGCCGTCGCCGTCGCTATTATCGTTGGTGCCACCGGTGGCGCCATCGCTGGTGGCCCGCTCTGCCGTTTGGGAGATGGCAATGGCGGGGCACAGCTTCGCCTCCAGCGCCTGCACGTGCTCCGGGTCCAGCAGCTCCACAAAGGCGTTGGCGGCGCTGAACACGTCCAGGATCCACTCGCCGTCCGGCGCAGACGTGTCCAGCTGGCTGCACTGGCGCAGGGCCTCGTGCCAGTCCCCGATGAACGCCGTCGCCTCGGCGTCCTGCGGCTGGCGGTCAATGCACAGGACCGCAATCACCCGCAGCCACAGCCGGAGCAGCGTGTCGTCCACCTTCAGCTTGCCCTTGTTCTCCTGCACGCGCGGGTACAGCACGCCCTCCACGGGCGCCAGCAGCGCGGCAAGCGTCGCACACGTGCGCGAGCCCTTCTCCCCGCCAGCATGCGGCTCCCCGCGCGCCGCAAAACAGATGGGGCAGCACATCTGCATCGACGCCGCCCACGCGAGGCTCTCGCGCGCATCCCCGTGGTCGTCATCACCATCATCATCAGCATCACCATCATCATCATCGCCGTGCAGGAGGGCGGTGAGCGGGTCTGGCAGGTAGGGCGTCGGAACGGCCACGCCGCGCTGCAGAATCACGGTCGTGCCCGGCTCCAGGTCCCGCCTCGCCACCACGCGCCGCCCGCTCTGCACATACACCTCATCGCCGCACGACACAAGCTTGCACGACCCGTCAACAAACACGTGCGGCCGCCACACATTGGCGGAGGAAGAAGGAGGAGAAGAGGGAGAAGACATCGTCGTGTGGGTTTGTTGCAGTTTGTGGTGTTGTGGGCAGTTTTCAGTGTCGCACGATTTTTGGAGCTGAATGACTGTGCGTCCTTGTTGTTGAGCTGTCCTTGCCATCGTCTCCCCGACCAGCAGACCTCAACTCGTTTTGCCAACCAATCTGACGACACCACTGCAGCACTGCTAGACTGCTGCTGATGCTGCTTGCCTCTCACGCCACATACTCACCTTCCCTCTCTCCTGTGTATTGTGTGCTGCAGCACGAGCGAACCAAAAAGCAAAACGCGTCCACAAGCACACGGAAGCACACTCTTGCGTGCAAGCAAACAAAACGTTCCACAACAGGACAACCACCACAGCCACAGCAGGACAGCAGGACAACGACAAAACCAAGCTTGCGTCTCTGGCTTCAGTCTCGTTTGCAGACAGACGCACGTACGACTACGATGGCCCAGCCACTGCCGCTGCCGCTTGTGCGCAGCGAGGAGCGACTCACGCTCGACGTTGGCGGTGTCGTGTATGTGACCGCACGCACCACTCTGACTGAGGGCAGAGCGGAAGGCAGCCGTCTCGCCGCCACCTTCCAGCAGCCACCATCCGACACCGTGTCGGACGCCATTGATGCGGCCACGGGAGGACACGCGTTCTTCATCGACCGCGACGGCGACACGTTCGCCCACGTCATGTACTGGCTGCGGACCGGAGAACTCAAGTCGGAGGCTCTTGCAGACGCGGGCGTTTTGGAGTGCATCCACCGTGAAGCCACCTTCTTCCACCTGCTACAGCTGCTGGAGTACTTGGGCGACGAACCTGAAAGCACGGGCTCAGCAGCTGGTGGCGGCGACGCACCTGTGAAGAGGCGCAGAGCGAAGAAGAGGAAGAGTGGAAGCCAGCTCACGCAGCAGCAGTTCATGCGCATGTACATGGACGCTGGTGCCCATCCAGCAATGGTCAACAACGTGGTCTACGACAGTCACACCAACAGGCTCAACACCCATCTGGCCTCGCCCAACGTCAAATGCTTCATCAACGCCACTGGGCTGAACCTGTCCGGACTGGACCTCAGCAATCTCGACTTGAAAGGCTGGAACCTTACCAATGCCAACCTTGAAGGTGCTGACCTGAGTAATGCGAACTTACAGGACACGACGCTCGCTGGTGCCGACCTAACCAAAGCTGTGCTGAAGAACGCCAACCTCACAGCAGCAAACGTGACAAATGCCAACCTCACCGGCGTTGACCTGAGTGGGGCTACTTTACTGCAGCTCCAATTCCAAGGTGCAAAATTGACTGGCGCAAACCTCAGCGGGTGCGCCCTGCACGGCTTCATCTTCAACGGTTTGGATTTGACTGGTGAGCTGAGTGCGCGTGTTCTTGTATTGGGCTGGGGTTTGCATTTGCGGCTCATTGCTGTGGGGTTTATGTAACAATGCCTTCCTTCATTCACGCGTGTATACCCACTGACCAACGTTGAACGTAGGGACAGACCTAAGTGACACCAACCTGAGCAAGGCAAACCTGAGCAAGGCAAACCTGAGCCACACAAACCTGCAACGGACAACGTTGACTGGTGCCAAGCTTGCCCGGGCGAACCTGAGTGGGTGTGACCTGCACAACCGGGACTTCAGCAACTTTGACCTCACAGGTTTGGGCCATCTCATGCACAATTACGCACATACACGCACACACGCACACACGCACACGCGCGCACACACACACACGCACACACCATACACACTCTCTGTTTGTGTATGTCGTATGTGTGTGCGCACGAACACTCTTCACTGCCTATTGCACGTCTCGAAATTTCTTAACGCCCAAGGTTTTCGTTTTCGGGTGTTCGTGTGTTTCAACATTTTCAGGTACCAACTTCAACCATGCTAAACTTCAGGGTGCGGTATTCTCGGGCGCAGCACTTGCAAGTGCCAGCTTCTACTATTCTCAGCTCCAGAACGCGACCTTCACCAACGCCAACCTCACCCACACGGACTTCCGAGGCGCCCAAGGACTCGACCGGAACGGCCCCCACTTCTCTGGCGCGAACACCACCAACACCCGTTGGCAGTAGCCAGCGTTGGCGGACGTGACATTCCCGTGCCCTTGCGTGTCACCATGTGGTCTGCATGCCTTCTTCCGCAACACGTACTTCTCCTTTCGGCCGTGACGCCATTCTTCTTGCTCTGGCCTTGCGTTATCCTGCTGCCATCCTTGCGTGCCGTTCCAGCGCCATTTCCCCCTTTTTGTTTTGTTGCGTGCTGTTACTCTTTCGTTGCTTTGTGTTCTTGCGTGCGGCCTCGTCCTTCTTGTGACTACATATTTCCTCTCAGCATTCCCTGCTTCCTTCTTGCATTTCGTCCGTTCTCGCCTCCCGTTCCCTGCAAGCGCAATATCATGATCAAGAGAGATCAAGTCGTTTTCTCAATCCACCCAATCCATGCACAGAAGGGTGTGTGTGTGTGTGTGCAGCGAACAAGGCGGCTGGAATGCAGGAATGCGGGAGAGGGGACATGAGATAGGCGTAGGAGGGGGAGAACAAGAACAAGAGGCAAGAGAAGCGAAGGAAAGGACGAGGAACAACAACGAGAAGACGAGGGGGAGGAAGAAGAAGAGGAGGAGGAGGAGGAGGTGCAAGGGAAGTAAGGGAAGCACAACAGCAACAACAACAACAACAACAACAACAACAACAACAACAAGCAAGAACATTGACACTCCAGCACACCCATTTATCCATTTCAAAAGCCCCGCGGCGCACAAACCTTCAGCTTGGTGGCATATTCCCTTTTACCACCAACCCCTTCACGTTCGTCAGGTGGATTTTCGCTGAAAGAGTTCTACGATTCTTCTTCAATCGCCAAAAAAAGGCACACCAACACATTCCAGGCAGAAACCAAACAACCCCCAAACTTGGCATCCATCCACCCACCATCCCCAAGTCAAGAACAACTGTCTCAGGTCTGCGCCTGCGCCTGCGCCTGCTTGTTGCTTGTTGCTTGTCAAGAGGAAGGATCGCGACACCGACCAAGCCTGTGTATGTGTGTATGTGTGTATGTGGTGTACCTTGTTCATTTCCTCCATCTGTTGTTGTTCATTTACCCTTCCTCCTCCTCCTCATCATACACACATCCATTCGCATCCACGCCCACCTCCCTTGTTCCTGACAACTCATCATCCCCGTTGGCAACAACTCTGATCCGCTGACACCCCTTTCTTCCTGTTGTCTCTTTTCCCCTCCTTCCTTCTCTCTTTCTCCTTCCTTCTCTCTTTCTCTTTCTTTTCTTCCCCCTCTCCCTCTTTCTTCCCTCCTCTCACTCACTCTTGTTATTTGTTTGTTTAGTTCACGAGCGACGATGAGCAAGTCGAGCTTTATCAAGGAGTACAAGCTGGTGGTGGTTGGCGGCGGTGCCGTCGGAAAATCCGCCCTCACCATCCAGTTTATCCAGTCACACTTTGTGGTGCGTGCGCTGTGGCGTGTGTGTGTGTGTGTATGTGTGTGTATGTGTGTGTATGTGTGTGTATGTGTGCGGTGTGTGTGTGTGCGTGCTGTGTGTGTGTGTGTGTGTGAGGTCTGCTTCCAACCCCTCCCCCAACCCCTCCTCTACTCTCCCTCTCCCTCCCTCCCTCCCTCCCCACTGTCCCCGTGTGCATGCTTGCACAACAACTCACCCACCCCTACCTCTCTCCCATCCACCATACCCCCCCCCCCTTCTCCACCACCTACCCACCCACCAACAGGACGAGTATGATCCGACGATTGAGGACTCGTATCGCAAGCAGTGCGTGATTGACGAGGAGGTTGCACTCCTCGACATTCTCGACACAGCCGGACAGGAGGTGCGTGTGTCTGCGCGGAGACAAAACACAAATGCCATCGTAGCAGTCCTGTTTCACTGCGTGCATATGCACGTTTCCGTTTCGCTGCGTGCATGCATATCATCCTCACATGTGCTTACACATGCCCCCTTTGACGTCAACAGGAGTACAGCGCGATGCGCGAGCAGTACATGCGCACTGGCGAGGGCTTCCTGCTTGTGTACTCCATCATTGACAAGAGCAGCTTCGAGGAAATCCAGACCTTCCACAGCCAAATCCTCCGCGTCAAGGACAAGTGCGTTGCGTGTGTGTATAAGTGTGTATTAGTGTGTGTGTGTCAGTGTGTGTGTGTGTGTGTGCATGTGTGTGTGTCAATGTGTGTAAGCTTTTGTGCGTGTGTCGACTCGTACCCTTCTCATGCCCTTACAATTCCTTTCTCTCTCTCTCTCCCTCCCCCACATACAAACACTCTCGCCATCACACCATCCTCACTCACACACGCACACTCACAACACCGCACCCCCACCACCTTCGCGTCGCACAACACCAGGGACGAGTTCCCCATGATTCTTGTTGGCAACAAGTCTGATTTGGAGAACGAGAGACAAGTCAGCACCAGCGAAGGCCAGGAGCTTGCCAAGCAACTTAAGGTGCGCACGTGTTGTATGTGTTGGTGTTTGTTGTGTGTTTGTTGTGCGTGTGTTTATTGTGTGTGTGCTTGTTGTGCGTCGTATGCGTGTGTGTTTGTTGTGCGTGTGTTGTTGTGCGTGTGTTTGTTGTGTGTGTGTGTGTTTGCTGCGTGCGGGTGAGCCATGATGCATATGCGAGCACCCTTACCCTCCTTATCTTGTATGCATCATCTGCACACACGTCTTCCAACCCACACCTCACCCTTGTTACCCACCTGCCCCTCACCCTGCAGATTCCACACGTGGAGACGAGCGCCAAGCAGCGCGTCAACGTCGACTTTGCCTTCCACGAGCTCGTCCGCATCATCCGGTGCGTGGCCTATGCGTTGACGGCGGCATTGTGTTGGCGGTGTGTGTGTGTGTTGGCGGTGTGCCACTCCCCTTCCTCCTACACACACACACACACACACACACACACACACACACACCACCCTA